ATTCCCTTGTAATAATAATAATCATTATTTATTTGAATTGACTCCACCGTAAAGGTGGAGCGCTCTTAACAATAAAATGACTCAACTGACATCCTGGACATTCTTGCGAAATAGGTTGTTTCCTCCCAAAAATGGTTGTCCTCGTGAATTATTGGTAAGCAATCAAAACAAACACAACGGATCCAGCAAAGCAACGGGTGGTTTTGGGGGCTTTAAACAAACCAGGTTCACGGATCGCTGGGAAGTGAATCGGTGCTGCAGCCTTTATAGCCGTGGCTGCATGTTTCCCGTCATCACCGTGTACTGCGTATTGATTCGCCCGATAGGTTCTGTGTGACTGAGGCTGTTTCCACGATTAACGGTGCTGCTGCTGCTGTGGCGTTTCGTCTGAAACATAAGAATAGGTTCTACCATTTTTTCGCAATAAAACAGGAGGTGATAAAAAGACGATGGCTCGTGTTGCAATCGAAACGTCGTGATTTCATTGATTTCATTTTATACCGACGTGGCTTTATCGAAAGAACCAAAGAGTATGGATCCCTGCAGTCACGAAAACTTCTGATCTAGAATTTCTCTGATAATATTTGCATTGTCGTTAAAACTGATTGGCCTGCACAAGAGAAGGCCTTCTTTGTTATCTATCAGAGCTTGTGTTTGTTTGCATGTTCAACACAAGTACGCGTGGATACTGCAGACTTGATTCCTTGCAAACTGGTATCTATGTGGTGGTTGAATATCTTAACACCTAATACTCTATGGTTCTTTCGGTAAAGTCACGTAGATAGAAAAATAGCTAAGGGGCCGTACATAAATGACGTCACGCACCTGGGGGGGGGGGTCAGATATTTGTGACGATGTGTGACGAGGGGAGGGGGGTTTGAGAAATGTGACGTCACATCAAAATGCGCAACTTTAAATAAATATAGACAACACGTTCTACTTAATTAAATAGACTTTTTAATAAATGGTTTCTCTTACAACATCAGAGTGCAGAGCCACATTAAATACGCACTACAATGACAATAGTTTAAAGCGATTTGAAGCATGTTTTATTTGGGGGGGGGGCAGAGCTTTGTGACGTCATATTCGAGGGGGGTTCTGACTTTTTGTGACGCCGTGTGACGAAGGGGGGGGGGGGGGGTCAAAAATCGTCCAAAATCGCGTGACGTCATTTATGGACCGTCCCTAAGAGGCCTACGCGATGTAAGAGCGCCTTCGTTGCTCCTGGAGCACCGCACGTGGTCGCCTGTTTGAGCCGCGCGCGCGGGAGCCAATCCGCGTCCTCGACCTGCCCGTGACGTCACTTGTGTCAGCACCAGGACACACGCACACAAAGACGAGACAAGGAGGGAGGGCCCCTTACCCCCCCCCTTCCCGGGTAGACCTCTCTACCCCAACGCTACTCCCCCAATGCTTTCTGGCAGTAGTCTCCTGAAATCCCTCCCATCCCCCCCCCGGGTAGACCTCTCTACCCCAACGCTACTCCCCCAATGCTTTCTGGCAGTAGTCTCCTGAAATCCCTCCCATCCCCCCCGGGTAGACCTCTCTACCCCAACGCTACTCCCCCAATGCTTTCTGGCAGTAGTCTCCTGAAATCCCTCCCAATCCCCACACCAACTCCCCTGGGGGCATCTTTGCCGTTGCAGAAATAGCTTCTTACCTTCATGGGCCCTACCCTGGCCTAAACAAAAAAAAATGAACCAAATTAACGACGATAGGCTGACGAGTAAAAAAAAAAACAACCCGATTCATTTGTACGCGGAGAGAGACGGACCGTAAGTCGTTTTGTTGTTGTTTCAATTTAATTCCCGAAGAAATCTTCGCCAGAGTAACCGCGTTACAATTGAAATACAACACTGAATGTGTTTACCCATGGTTGTACGGGGTAACCTCTGGTGGTGAGGATGATGACGACGATGGTGGTTTCCACGTGTTTACATGTAAGCGTACATACCTGTTTACATGCACGCGTACTTACACAGACACACTACACACGATTCTACGTTCGCACTAACTTACGCGTGTACATTTTAAACACATTTCTCTATATACATACATACACACACTGTACTGGCATCTACTGTATAAATACTATACGTACAAAATACGAGAAATTATCCGTGCACATACACGTACGAATATCGGTATGTACATAGCCTTTCATTCAAATAATATAAACTGTGGGGAGAATTGAGTGTTGGAGTAAACACTGCTGTGGACGATGCACATCGGGCGCAGGGCTCGGCAAACGGGGCCTCCGGGGCACCATGCGGTGGCTTTTCAAGGGCTGCAGTGGCGGCTCTTGAAATTCGAAAACAAAAAATGTCTCGTCTTGTTATTTTGGTTTCTGACCCCTGACCGTGGAAGTCCAGATTCACCATGGGAGTCCAGTTCACCATGGGAGTCCAGATTCACCATGGGAGTCCAGTTCATCATGGAAGTCCAGATTCACCATGGGAGTCCAGTTCACCATGGGAGTCCAGTTCACCATGGGAGTCCAGATTCACCATGGGAGTCCAGTTCATCATGGAAGTCCAGTTCACCATGGAAGTCCAGTTCACCATGGGAGTCCAGTTCACCATGGGAGTCCAATTCACCATGGCAGTCCAGATTCACCATGGGAGTCCAGTTCACCATGGAAGTCCAGCTCACCATGGGAGTCCAGTTCACCATGGGAGTCAGTTCACCATGGAAGTCCAGATTCACCATGGGAGTCCAGTTCACCATGGAAGTCCAGCTCACCATGGGAGTCCAGTTCACCATGGGCAGGGCTTGAGGCTGCTTCGTGATGTTATTGATGAAGGACCAACCGTCTTGTATTCACCCACAGTGCATTGCGGCTCTTAAAATCTTGTTTTCTTTTACCGAATTGAGAAATAAAACATCTTCTTGTTGTTGTTTTGGTTGCCGACCCCTGGTCTAGCGTAACTGTTGAATACGTTAAATTATTAAACGATGCTGCTGCTGCTGCGTCGGCAGTGATGCACAAATAACTTAACACGTTAGGCATTAACGTTCGTTCGTAACACCGTGGCCTTAACGGAAAAGTAGAGCGATAGGCGACGTTTAGAGTTGGAAACTCGTTTCCACTCTACTTCTCTGGTCTCTGTGCATGCTAAGAAGGACCATTGCCCGACACGTCTCACTGTTTCGTCTTCTTCATCGGAAGGCCACAATGTTACTGGCGATTATCGAAGACGGATGGAGATCACATTTATCAAAAAGAGGAGAGAGCAGGCAGACTGGAGTGCTTTTCAGAAAGCTGGCCATGAAACAATCAACATCATGCGCTGCGACATATTGCACATTAAAACGAGACACGCGCAGAGAAGTGGCAGACGCGTGTTTCGCCCCCTTCGCGTGTTTATTTAGCAAAGCGACGCGCGCGCGGAGGGGCTCCTGTGACCTGGAAAAGGGTAATCGAATCCCCGCGTGGCGCTTTTCCTTCAACTCTACGGGCTACTCACCTCGCATCCATCCTCCCACCCCCCCCCTACTCAGATGAGTGGCAGGAGGAGGATGAGGTCGCATTGACCTTATCCCCCACCCCATCCCTCATGTCATGCGGGTGGCGTTGTTATCCGCGAGTTATGAACACGCCCCGGGCCTGTTTCGTATTGGCGACGGCCAGTTCGGCGTCAAGGATGTTGTTCATTGGCTTGCGTACGCTCGCAGCCCTTAGCGACGGACAGGCTCGGTGATTCGGGCGTGCTTGGTCCGTCGACTGGCCCCTCGTGGGTGCGTGCGTACCGGGATGAGCGGTGAATTGTGACATTCAATTCGGGGAGAGTTTCGCAACGACCCTGCGGGTGGGAACACTGCCAAAGGCATTGGTGACCGATTCTGAAGAGGGCGCAAAGAAGCGTGGAGAGATGCATTCTGGGTATTCCAATGAGAGATGCATGCTGGGTATTACAATGAGAGATGCATTCTGGGTATTCCAATGAGAGATGCATTCTGGGTATTCCAATGAGAGATGCATGCTGGGTATTACAATGAGAGATGCATTCTGGGTATTCCAATGAGAGATGCATTCTGGGTATTCCAATGAGAGATGCATTCTGGGTATTCCAATGAGAGATGCATGCTGGGTATTACAATGAGAGATGCATTCTGGGTATTACAATGAGAGATGCATTCTGGGTATTACAATGAGAGATGCATGCTGGGTATTACAATGAGAGATGCATGCTGGGTATTACAATGAGAGATGCATTCTGGGTATTACAATGAGAGATGCATTCTGGGTATTCCAATGAGAGATGCATTCTGGGTATTCCAATGAGAGATGCATGCTGGGTATTACAATGAGAGATGCATTCTGGGTATTCCAATGAGAGATGCATTCTGGGTATTCCAATGAGAGATGCATTCTGGGTATTCCAATGAGAGATGCATGCTGGGTATTACAATGAGAGATGCATTCTGGGTATTCCAATGAGAGATGCATTCTGGGTATTACAATGAGAGATGCATGCTGGGTATTACAATGAGAGATGCATGCTGGGTATTACAATGAGAGATGCATTCTGGGTATTACAATGAGAGATGCATTCTGGGTATTACAATGAGAGATGCATTCTGGGTATTCCAATGAGAGATGCATGCTGGGTATTACAATGAGAGATGCATTCTGGGTATTCCAATGAGAGATGCATTCTGGGTATTCCAATGAGAGATGCATGCTGGGTATTACAATGAGAGATGCATGCTGGGTATTACAATGAGAGATGCATTCTGGGTATTACAATGAGAGATGCATTCTGGGTATTACAATGAGAGATGCATGCTGGGTATTACAATGAGAGATGCATGCTGGGTATTACAATGAGAGATGCATTCTGGGTATTACAATGAGAGATGCATTCTGGGTATTCCAATGAGAGATGCATTCTGGGTATTCCAATGAGAGATGCATGCTGGGTATTACAATGAGAGATGCATTCTGGGTATTCCAATGAGAGATGCATTCTGGGTATTCCAATGAGATGCATGCTGGGTATTACAATGAGAGATGCATTCTGGGTATTACAATGAGAGGTGCATGCTGGGTATTACAATGAGAGCCAGGGAGAGGAACGCATGGATCAAAGAACAAGCACAAATGAGAAACACCATATTGACTGCTATAATAATACAAAAGTAAGCAGGCTTGGGCAGGGCACGTCATGTCTAGAGGGTATGATGGTGATGGACCAGCTCGCAAAAGACGTTGATCCTTGCGAAGATGGAGTGATGAGATCAGTTGATTTTGAGGAGGGAGATGGATTGTGGCATCGTAGGACCCGTGCGGGGTTACGACGGAACGGAGAAGCCTTCATCCAGCAGTGGAGATATCTCGGGATCTGAAAGGTATTCTGTTGAGCCGTATAGATTGTAGAAGTAAGTTCTGCTAGCGAGCACCTATTGAGGCTGGCTCAGCGCACGGGGGTGCAGAGTGGCAAATGCTATGCACGCCTGCACGGGGACACCTTTGTCTCTCTCGTGCTAGTGTTGAACACACTGCAAGCAATTGCTAACTTTACTCTTGAGTCGACCTATAGGAGGCACAAGCCAAGTACTCTCACCAACTGCTGGTGGGTACCGTGCACCACGAGCAGAAGGAGTAGGTAACTCGTACTGCTGCTGTTGACCATTGACGTGCAGCAAATTACTGTGCTACTCCATCAGTTGCCACCTCGACCGTAGCTACTGCTGCTGTAGATTACGATGCTGTTCCTGGTTTATGCTGCTGCTGCTGATGAGATTGTTGCTTATCTAGACATTGCTGTTCATGTGGCACCATCTGCAGCTGCTGCTTTTGCAAATGACAAAGTTGCTGCTGCTGTAGCTGTATCTGCTGCTGCTGTAGCTGTACCTGCTGCTGCTGCAGTTGACAATTCCGCCCCAGCATCCCCAACTGCCACTGCTTCTGCTGATGATGGGATTGTTGTTGCTGCTGCACTTGCTGCTGCTGCTGATTATAATTTGGATCCTGCTGCTGCTGCTGATGCTGCTGCTGCTGCTCCGTGTGTTCCCGCTGAGGATGATGGTGTGGATCACGCTGCTGCTGCTGCTCCAGCGGCTGCTGCTCGCCACGCCGAACCGACACGAGGCCCCTCTCAGCCCCCGTGTCCGCGAGCGCTCTGCGGAGTCCTGACGCGGCGCTTGTGGAGACCTTCCCCGGGGCCTCCCTCCCCCGGCGCGGCCTCGGGCAGCAGCCGCACAGGTGGCGCACGAAGCGGTGCAGGCGCACGAAGAACGAATGGCGCCCCAGCAGGTACATCCAGGGGTCCAGGATGGGGTTGAAGGCGTGCAGCCGCAGAGCGTTGAGGTCCCGGTGGTAGTCCGACTTCGAGGTCACGGCGTTGACGATCGCACGGACCTACGGGGGGGGGGGGGGGGGGGATAGGGTGCAGGGCACGGCGGATCCCGTGAGCTCGGGGAAACAGCGCGGGTCTGTCCGCTGCGCAAATCCTCTGTGATGCCCGTTACCCTCGGATGTTGAGCTGCAGTAGGCTGACGCTCATCTGGCCAGGTCAGGGCGGTCGGCAAAACCGAAATAACAAGAAGGGCCAATATTATAATTGTTTTTTTACCCTTCTATCTGGCAACAAAACTGACACCTTTTTACAAGGAGTCATGTTTGCATAGACCGCAATACCTGCAGTCATAATACAAACAAAAGAACATAACTCTGATAATGTGCACTGTCCTTGAAGTTGATTGGTCCACACCCGAGACAGCTTTCCTTCGAGCCTAGTCTCACATGGGTTGGACCAGATGACGCCTTTTGGCTGTCTCGGGTGTGGACCAATCAACTTCAAGGACAGTGCACATTATCAGAGTTATGTTCTTTTGTTTGTATTATGACTGCAGGTATTGCGGTCTATGCAAACATGACTCCTTGTAAAAAGGTGTCAGTTTTGTTGCCAGATAGAAGGGTAAAAAACCAATTATCATATTTTTACTGGCAAATGAGGTTCCCATAGGGCCAATATTGTAATATATATTACTTGGTAATAACATTCAATGCACTTGAGCCCAAGACGGTGGGTCCTTAATAAGTAAAGGTCACGAAGCAGTCCTTAAAGAGCGCATTCGGCCCCGGAGTGGCAGGTTTGCCGACCCCTGGATCAGGCGGCGCGGCGAGGAAAGCGCTCGACTTACAGAAGAAGGGCAGCCGGAATGGGCGTCCCAAATTTAATTTAATTTAGCCACTTTATTATATATTTTTGGAAAAAGCCATTAACGGTAGCTTGTCACGGTTACTTAAGTATACAGGATATATGTAATAATGTAAAAACAAAAATCTTAGGTGTGGCACTGTCTCCACGTTTTACCGAAACCTTTTCCGTGAATTCCTGTTTCGTCTTTAACACGGCCGCGATTTTACTTGAAATGTTCCTTGACAAAAACGTTGCCTTCTACATTGGTTGACGAGCCACAGAAAATATTCATCACATTCACCGCGCTGTGTATGTATGTTGCACTTCTTTCGCACCGTACGTGGCTAACCGTGCTAATCGGAGGTGCCAGGCTGGGTGAACTTTGAGGCCACGTGGAGTTGTCGAAGGCCCGCTGGCAGGAGGTCACGGGGCAAACCGAGGTGTCATGGGTTGACTAAGATGACTGACAGATGCACCACCTGTGCCCCCCCCACCCCCCCCCCCCCCCCACTGTGCCGACTTGCTGCGTTTTATCCGTCCGGCGCTCCGCTCGTTGTCGTGTGAGCGTCGCTCCTCTGCCCTCCGTTGTGGAGGTCGACTGCCTCTAGATTCCCATTAGCGTCCTTCACGAGCCTCCTTCACGGAGGCCGATCTTGAGCACATGTGGTGCTATTTGGAGGTGCGGGGGAAGGATTGCAAACTTAACACAACAACAGAAGTTCTAAACAAATGAGTTTTCAATCTAGACGGAAAGGTGAAATCTTGAAAACTAATTTCTTTGGAACTGCTTTGTGTTTAGTTTGTGTGGTGGTGCCGCTTAGCGGACACAACACGGTGTTGCATTTTTAATGTACAACGCGACTCGGGGGGTGCTGGAGGGCACAGCAGCCTTGACCAGTGTCAGGGCACTCAGACGCAATGCAGGCTCATTCACGTTGGGTGTCTGGCGCTGATAAAGTTGCCTCGTCCGTTCCGGCTTGTCTACACCACCACCACCAGTGACGTGCATCTGTCACGGCACTCACGTAAGGACCACAGTTTCATCGGAAGGAACCGGCGATATATTATTGGTACTGATGGCGAGCTGTGTGAGCTGGTTCTTCAAAATAAATAAGGAATAAACAACATTTAGACTGATAAAAGGGCTGCACAGACGTGTACAAAGATAAAGATCCCCCGTCTAAACTTAACATACTTGTGGGGCAAATGATGTTCGCGAGCACCTATGAAGGCCGGCACGGTACGCTGGGGCGTGGGTGGCTAGTACTATACCCGGCCGCCTTTGTCTCCCCAACGGCGATATTTACACACCAGGTACTCATTTGAGGCTGAGTCGATTTAGGGGAGGCCCCGGACCGTTTCAGACAATCGTCACCGGTGTTGGCAGTAAGCGGGAATCGAACTCTGGTCGCCGGGTTCGTAGCGCAGCGCGCTAACCACGACACCGCCGCTTCCCACACGCGTACACACACACGCGTACACACACACACGTACACACACACACGTACACACACACACGTACACACACGCGTACACACACACACGTACACACACACACGTACACACACACACGTACACACACGCGTACACACACACGCGTACACACACACGCGTACACACACACACGTACACACACGCGTACACACACACGCGTACACACACACGCGTACACACACACACGCACACACACACACGTACACACACGCGTACACACACACGCGTACACACACACACGTACACACACACACGTACACACACACGCGTACACACACACGCGTACACACACACGCGTACACACACACACGTACACACACGTACACACACACGCGTACACACACACACACACGTACACACACACGTACACACACACGCGTACACACACACGTACACACACACGCGTACACACACACGTACACACACACACGTACACACACACGTACACACACACGTACACACACACGTACACACACACGCGTACACACACACGCGTACACACACACACGCGTACACACACACACACACGTACACACACACACGTACACACACACGCGTACACACACACGCGCACACATACACGCGCGCACACATACACGTGTACACACACACACACGTGTACACACACACACACGCGTACACACACACACACACGTACACACACACACGTACACACACACACGTACACACACACACGTACACACACACGTACACACACACGCGTACACACACACACACACGTACACACACACGCGTACACACACACGTACACACACACACGTACACACACACGCGTACACACACACACACACGTACACACACACACACGCGTACACACACACGCGTACACACACACGCGTACACACACACACGCGTACACACACACACGTACACACACACGCGCACACATACACGTGTACACACACATACACGCGTACACACACACACCCGCACACACACGCGGACGAGCGGTGGTGAGATGTTATCTCCCTGGCCTGGTGTATAGAGCAAGTTGCTTGTACGCCTCTCCCCGTGGTCGCATGTATTTTGTTCCGGGCCCTCCGACTATTTCCTCCACATTTCGAAACATGCTTTTACAGTATTCGGCTGCTATTAATTTCCACGTGACAAGCCACTTCGTTGAGCCATCATTTGTGGCCAGGTCGCTTCTGATAAAGAGCTATACACCTCGGTGGGCTTTACCGAGGTAAAATGAAGAGAAAAAAGCGAGAAATACAGGGTGTTTCAAAAAGACGGACCCAATTTCAATGACATTTCAAATCAATACTGCCTTGAAATTGGCTCCATCTTTTTGAAGCCCCGCTGCAGTTTAAAAAGCCAGCGGGGTACCGTGAGCGGCGTGGTGCAGACGAGCGACATGAGGGTGATGGACACGAGCAGAGTGAGGTTGTCCTCCTCCTGACGGTGCATTCGGCGTCTCTCGCGAGCTCCGGCCGCGCCGCCGGGCCCTGCCGCTTGCAGGACCCTCTTGCGCCTGATCATGCGGCCCAGGGTCACCATGACGCACGCGTTGCACACCACGGTGACGAGCGTCAGCGTGGCCATGACGGACGCGTACGCGAGCGGGAACGCGGCCCCGTCGCGGCCGCCGCGAGGACGCATGTCCACGTAGCACCACGTGCCCGGCTCGTAGACCACGGCGTCGGCGATGCCCAGGAGGGGAGCGGCGCCCAGGAGCGAGGCGCCCGCGAAGATGACGCCGAGGGTGACGCGCAGCACGACGTCGCGGTGCGCGCTGCCCGCGTACGCGAACGGCACGCTGATGCAGAGGACGCGCTCCACGGCCATGGCGCACACGATGCCCTGCGTGGCGGCGCCGAAGAAGAGCATGCACGCGGCCATGGACGTGCAAAGCCCCGCGCCGCCGAGCGCGGGCACCGTGAGGTTGCGGCCGTAGGCGGTGATGGCCACGGGGCTCGTGAGGCAGGTGCCCAGCAGGTCGGTGACGGTGAGGGCCAGCACCAGGGTGTAGAAGGCACCCAGCTCACGGCCGCCGCCGTCGCCACCGCCGCTGTTGTTGTTGCTGATGGTGGTGGTGGTGGGGGAAGGTGGTGGTTGATCAGTGGGTGGTGGTGGTGGTGTTAAACATTTAAATGTCACCTGGATAAACCTTGAGACGGAACATTTCGTTTGCAAGGGGTCGTGTCCATTGCAAGGTGCTGTCGATTGACCGCGTGCACAGCAAAACAAGTATAGAGATAGATGCAAATCTGTAACTTACACGGCACGCATTTATACAATGAACAATCATGTATTACAAAAATAATAATGATGGTGGTGGTGTTGGAAGTGGTGTTCAGTTGATTTGGTTAATTCGTGGAGAAAGTGTCGATGTAATTGTTACAGCGACGGTATTTGTGGTAGTGGCGATGCAGGATGTGATGTGGTCACAGGGGGAAGGTGACTATGATCATGTTGATGGAGGTTGGTGGTCATTGTGATGATGGTGGTGATGATAATAGCAGAAGTGATGGTGGTGGCAAGCGTCAGGTTAAAATAAAAACAAAAACTGAAGAAATGAATATCGTTGCCGCTGCAACTCGGTTCCTTGTCTCATTCCACATTCCTCTGACGCGCGTGAACGTATCCAGTTGTACAACCACCGGTTGTGACTTTACAACCCGGCGTGTGATAGCCGTGAGTCAACAACTCCCAACCCCGAGATTTGAATCCGCTACAATCGCGGGCCCAAAACACAGTAACTCGCTTTATTGCTGATCACTTTAACAAGTAGCAGTAGTAGGAGGAGGCTTTTGCGACCAAATATCAGCCATAATTGAATTTTTGGGGGGTTAGATCGCGTAAATATAAATGTGTCGTTAAACCCGCCACCACCCGACACAGCCAATTAGTCAGGGTTTGTCACGTAAACAAAACGTGGCAATTCGTTACCAGTACAGCACACCGGTGTGTTGGAGAATAAACCCACAACATTTACAATCGGAGTACGACGTTTCGCCAGTAATTACAACCAGCATCGTCAGGCGACGGCCAGATTTGTGTAGAAATCCTCCTGTTTCAGTCTTAGACATTGCCAATACTGTCCCCCGCATGTGACTGCAGTTGCGTGAGTCGCGGCCCCCGCAATGCCACGTGCGCGTGATACTTCCTGTACTCCATCGACTCGCGCGCCACATTCTGCTGATTGTGACGGCTATGCTCATGAGCAACGCGACTGGCGAAGTTATTTCCGAGTCCCAAGTCATTGTTACAGTTTGGGTGTTCATCTTCTTGGTTCTTTCGGTAAAGTCACGTAGAAGGGAAGTAATAAAATAATAAAAATAAAACATAATAAAATAATTCTCACGACGTTTCGGCCACAACGCAAGCAGCCGTCCTCAGGTGAAGACCAGGTCTGTCAGACGCTATCTCCCCGACAGACCTGGTCTTCACCTGAGGACGTCTGCTTGCTGTTGTGGCCGAAACGTCGTGAGAATTATTTTATTATGTATTATTTTTATTATTTTATTACTTCCCTTCTACGTGACTTTACCGAAAGAACCAAGAAGATGAATCCATGCAGTCACGAAAGCTTTAAATCGAAAGTTTGGGTGTTCCTTTGGGATGTTTTTTTCGCTAATCCCCTTTGAGTATGCGGCTAGGAGTGGAGGTGTCTTGCTGCCTGTCGGGAGGAAGCCGGAGAAGACCCACTGCGCTGACGAGGGGATAGCGCCGAACAGATCCGCTCTTGGCCGACGTGCTCGTCAACCCACTTGCTGTACTGTCGTCCGCGCGCCCAAATCGCAGCCCTGCGCATCTCTTGCAGCCCGGCATATCTGCACTTCCGATTTATCACGGGTGACTACGTACGGCGCGAAAGAAGTTCAACGTACCAAAAAGGGTCCCGTAGATCAATTTTACAGACTGACTAAAGCGCAACACGTTTGACCAAGTCTTGCCGCAAATATGCGCCGAGCAACCATTCCGAACCAAGGTGTTGAAGTCGTACCTTGGAGGTTGGTCCACGCGGTCCACCAGCAATCTAAACAGAGCTGTGATCTCATAAACGCGCCCCAACACCACCACCGCCACGTGTCAGCCACGCGCTCCCGACCCGTCCCACTCGGCGCGCTCATCACTCACCCGCAGGCGGCCCTGAAGGTGCCGCTCGTGCCGGTCCTGCCGCCTCTGCCGCTGCAGCTGATGCAGGAGCGGCCCGCGGTGCGAATCAGCATGGCCAGCGCGAGGAGGTTGCCGAGGAGACCCACGGAGAACATGACCGCGCACGTGCGCACCGTATGCATGGGAAGGATGTGAGTGCTGTTCCGCTCGAACACCATGGTGAGTTGAGACGCAAGCCTCGGCAGTCAGACTCGTGATAGCCTCCCTCTCTCTCTCCGTCTCTCTGTTTCTCTGTCCGCGTCTTTCTTCCGTGTTGTTTCTCCGTTGGAAGCGGCGCTTTGAGAAGTGACAGCGGCGAGTCACGACGCGTCGCGACTCAGCCGGGCACGGGCGGAGCCGCCCGGGTTATCGCGGAGAGAGGCGCCTTTCATATCGACCAGCAGCTGCATTCAGACGCAGCGTAACGCGGAGCTCAAGTCGTATAAAACGCGTGTCAAACGCGAATGCGCCGCTGGCCCTGTTTGATCAGCTCGCCAGACGACAGCAACAGCAGCAACAGCAGCGACGACAGCGACGACACGGACGGTGCCAGACGGTTCCGCGCCGCATGGATTGAATTTTACGCACGAGGAGAGACGCTGATGCAGGCGGGCGGGGGTGGTCTGGGGGTGGGGGCGTGCAGATCGGTCCAGTGCGTCGCTCCGGTTCTGTAAATCCCGTGGGAAGGTGCAGGATCCAGCGGGAATCTGTTCAATCCCAGCATCGCCGAGGGACAGATCTGCTCTTTCCGCCACAGCGCTCTCGTCTCTTGCTCTGCTCGCTCTCTCGCCCCCCGTCTCCCACATTCTCACCCCCCGCCCCTTTTCCCGTGCCCAAGAGCGTGCGGAACCGAGTTCGGTTGTGAGTAATCCGGCCCGGGATTTGGAAACCGCCACACATTTCCATTGCGTCTCAGCCGTCCACTACGCCGGACGTGGGGAACTGGCAGTGCGTGTGTGTGTGTGATTATGCGTGTGTGTGCGTGTGTGTATGTGCGTGTGTGGGTGTGTGTGATTATGCGTATGTGTGCGTGTGTGTGTGATTATACGTGTGTGTGCGTGAGTGTGTGCGTGTGTATGTGATTATGCGTGTGTGTGTGTGATTATGCGTATGTGTGCGTGCGTGAGTGTGTGCGTGAGTGTGCGGTAGTGTCGCAGTTAGTGCGCTGCGCTATGAACCCAGCGACCCGGGTTCAATTCCCGCTCACGGCCAACACCCAGTGACGATTATCTGAACCGGTCCTGGGCCTCCCCTAGGTCTACTCAGCCTCAAATGAGTACCTGGTGCGGTGTGTAAACATCGCCACTGGGGAGACAAAGGCGGTCGGGCGTGGTGCTGGCCACTCACCCCCTCGTGTGCCGTGCCGGCCTTCATAGGTGCTCGGTAACAGGACTTACCCCAACAGTCTGTTAAGGTCTTTGTGATGCTGTGCGTGTGCAAATCCTTTACTTATAACCAGGTTATAACCCGCTGAGATCAAAAGCTTAGTCGTTCAAGAGAAGACCTCTGGACCGAAACAAAGTACAGCCGTAGAGAGCACTTGCAGCCATAGAGATAACGTATGTAAGATGTTGAATTTATTTCGCGCCGTACGTAGCCAACCATGCCGATCGAAAGTGCGGGGGAAAGACAACAAACGAAACACAAAAAGCAGTTCTAAAGAAATTCGTCTTTTTTATAGATCGAGTGCAGACATAGTGATCATGTACAGTCATAGAGAAAATTTACAGCTGCAGGTAGCAAGTGTGGCGGTGGAGGACAGACAGAGTATGAGGAAGAGCGGTCACAACTCGTCAGCGTCACCTGAACCTCATGGCGGGACCCCGGGGTCCCCGAAAAAACGGAAGTCGAAATCGTAATTCATTCATGTATTTTTGGCGACTCCGTCCCACCGCGCACATGAACGCCGCGACCCGCCTGGCGCGGATCATTCTGTTGCCGTGTCGTGTTCAAGCAGCAGCAGCAGCGAGGACGAATGCGCAGAAGAAACTAAACTTTGAAACGTAGATGAGCGCATCGTGTAGAGCTCGTCGAGAGGAACAGATTGCCGTGTCGTTCGCCTTCAACAGACATAAAATGACGTCGCCACGCAGTTTATTGCGAGAGCCGGGGGGAGCGGGGGGGCTTATGGGACCACGGGGTCCCGCCATGAGGTTCACAATTCGCTTTGACAAATACTCACATCCACCCAGTCCGATTCACGAGTCGATCGACGTCCTGTATCGATATTCGATTCGATAGCGGGCGATTGTTCTCGTCTCGTTTCTACCCTTCTCGTTCTGCCCCGAATTGTACAATTCGTTCAACCGCTCTCAGCGTGACAATCACGGCGTGTATGATTGGCACACACAATTCCATTTTTTTTACAAGCACGACAGTCGATGCGTGTTATCCCGAGGACCGTACATGTGTTTTAAATGTATCATCATTGAAAGTCGCACCACTCATTTGCTGACGCCAGCGCGGCTGGACAGCACTGGTCTGGACGGCCAATGGAGGCGAATGGACCAAAACACGAGTTTATATTTGCGTCGGAAGAGATGAAGGTCACTTTCATTGTTTATTAGACAATCTACCCATCAATCAAGCCCTCGACAATGCACCTCCCTGCCGACTCGATTCCCGATCCCCACCCCCTTTCTGCTTCCATCGGCCTCGACTCTCCCCCAGATGCGGGCAGGACGCTGCTGGCGAACGGAGTGGAACAACGGGGACGTCCAAGAATGAACACCTCATTCCAGACCCAAACATTGCACCTACTGTTCTTTGGTTCTTTCGGTAAAGTCACGTATAAAGATAAAATAATAAATTAAATAATAGCATAATACGACGTTTCGATTGCAACACAAGCAATCATCATCAGGTGATGATATATACCCGATGATGATTGCTTGTGTTGCAATCGAAAGAACCAAATAATAATTCCTGCAGTCACGAAAGCTCCAAAATTAAGATTGAATCACTTCTACGGGGAGGTTTTAAGCTTATCTTTTTCTCTCTCTCTCTCTCTGGTTTTTTGTTTTCTCTCTCTGCCTGTGTCCTCTCTTTGGAATTTTCACACTTAAATTCTAACTTAGCAAGCTCCAAAATTAGGATTGCACCTACTGCTTTTGACATTTCTCATCCAAGACACAGACTGGTGGAACCATCAACCGCATCACAACATCAACAGACCGACGTGCACATCTCCGTGAATGGAAAATTAAAAGCACAAGGCACAGCGGTGCGAGTGTGACCATGCAACACGTACCATGGACCGCACAGTAACCTCACTGTGGTCAGCGGCACGAACTCTCTCTCTCCCCTAAAGCCCTCTCGTCGTGGTGAGCGGACATCGACGTTGAGCTCCTGAACATATCGTTGTCATGCGCAAGCATAGAATAGCAGGTGAAAGTCCACTCAGACGGAAATCTCTGTTGCAATAGGGGAGGGCATTGGCAGACGCGCACGTAAAAATGCGAGGTATTTGTGTTACGCTTCGGGATTTCGTCTGCAGAAGGCGAAGAGAGTGGCGCACATGGTGAGTCACAAGCAGAGAGAGGGGGGTGACACGGGGAAAGAGAACGTATAAGGGGAGGGGGGTAGAGATGCTGGCAGAGAGAGAGAAAGAAAAAATAATCGGGGCAGAGAGATAAGGGGTCATGGGGGGAGAGAGTCGTGGCAAGAATGAACAGCGGTGATGGTGGTGGGGAATTAAACGAAGAACTGTTTACAATTTAATTCTTTTTAAAACTCATTGGTGTAGGTCAATCGGTTTCAAAGACTGTGCGTACATTATCAAATCATGTTTGGCTACTTGTTTTACCACACACACGTGTGGTTAATGTTAATTTGCAACGGGTGTTTCTGGTGTTTGAACATCTTAGTACCTCCTGAATTATTGCCAGAAAGGGTAAAAGCCTGTTCTGTTTTCATCATCTTGATACTGGCAAAACGTGCCCATAGATATTTCTACATTTATGTTTTTGCTGTATTCGTTTTTGGGTGGTATGCCAGGGTGGTGGTGGTGGAGAGTCATGGGCAGAGGTCGGCAACGAAAAAAACAAAAAGATAAAAAAACAAAAAAATCGAATTCGGTGATGAAAAAACCCCCTGTCAATGTTTCAAGAGTCGCACTGCTGCAACGTGAATACGAGACGGGTGATGGCGGCCCTTAATCAAGGACGGTCACAAAGCAGTCCTTTAAAGAGCCGCATGCGGTTTCGGATCCGCATGTCGCCAACCCCTGGTCACTCATGGGGAGAGAGAGGGAGACTTTTGACTTTTAAACAACTTTTATTGCCGCCAGCAGCAAAAGCACTGGAGGCGATTTTAATAAGAAATACACAAAGTCACCAGAAACACAAAAAGAAAATAAACGCTACAAATCGACGCGCTGTGGCGCTGAAAGCACTGTGCACAATACAAAAGAAAAGCCACGTGGTGGTGGTGGTGGTGGTCATCGCGCACGCCACGGTGACGAGCGAGCGCTTCAGAAGGTGAACACGAGGGCGCCGTTCACGCTGGTGCAGAGAGGGGCTTTTCCGGCTCCCCAGCGTTCGAAGAAGACGTGCACATCACCAACATGTGTGTGGTACGCGTGCTCCAGCCGGAGCCGCGCCTTAAGCAAGCCTCTGAACACTGGAAGCACAGAGCAGCCGTCAGTGTCGAGAGAGGGAGAGAGAGAGAGGCGCGTGTGCTTCCTCGGTGGGGAATGTGGCACGCGGGGTGGCTGTCGGTGCCGTCCGCGGGGTGACTTTGAGCAGCAAACACTTCCCATATGCGGGGGCATCCGAGCTGTTGGCGATGATGCGGTGTTTGTTAGCGTGGGACTGAGCCACGCACACCTTCTGCCAAGGGCTTCCGTGCAAGTAAAATAAACCAACGCACGGTGCTGTGTCAGAGGGCTCCCGTCCTGGTTTCAAAAAAGACACAGAGCATGCATGCCTGCCAGTCTGTCTGTCTGTCGCCCTCGCTAACCTACTGTCTGTGTGTCTGCCTACTTGCCCGATGACGTTGTTGTTGTTGTTATTGTTGTTGTTTGTGTAATTGCGGATGTTGTTGCTTTTATGGGGAGCAGCAGAGGAGCGGTCAGCGCTCTGCAGCTACGAACCCGGCGACACCACGGCCACCAACACCGGTGACGATTGTCTGAACCCGTCCTGGGCCTCCCCCTAGGTCGACTCAACCTCAAATGAGTACCTGGGGAGACAAAGGCGGCCGGGTGTAGTGTTCTGGGGTACCCAGCCTATCGCGTGATGTGCCCGGCTTTCTTAGGTACTCGCTAACAGCACTCGCCCCAACAACTCTGTCCAGGCTCTACGGGGAGGGGGGGGGGGCGGTCGTTGTTGTCTGTGTTGTCTGGAGGCTTGCTCACAGCGCGCGCGACACGTGATGGCTGGTTAGTTCAACTCGTCAATTTAGTCGCCAGAAATAAATTGGCTATCTGTTGCACGGAGCCATTCGCGTTTGTTTTTTTTAATAGAAAGCAGCGTCGTGCGGTCATGTTCGTCACAGAAGATGACCCGGACAAGCACATCCAACGAGCAGGAAGACGCAGACACACCTACAGCAACCGACAACAACAACAACAAACCGCGCGTGAATCCACGAAGATAACCCTAACAGCCTCTTTCTATGAGGCTGTTGTTTCACACAATTGCTGAGCACAGGCCCAAAGCGACGAGCGGTCAGCAACAAGCAGCCCTGTCAATGTTGTAATAGATTAGGGTGTAACACGTTTCTTCAATTGAGCTAGGTAGCAAGAGCTTCAGAATCAGAATATTGTAAAATCTTGACTTGAAGCTTTCGTGACTGCAGGAATTCATATTCTTGGGTATTTCGGTAAAGTCACGTAGATAGGTTCAAAGAAAATAAGCAAAAATAACAGAAAACTACGGCGTTTCGACGACCACTTGCGTTGCGATCGAA